CCAATTCCCGGTCTAACCGGTCCGACCGGCCAGTTCGGTCCGGTTTTTTAAACACTGCCAAGTGAGAGATCAAAATTTTGTTTTATTTTTAAATATGGTGTCGCTATTTCCAATGGGAGATTAACTTTTTATTTATTTATTTATGTTCTTCTAATGTCATTGTCCCCAGTGGGAAATCAAATATATATATATTGTCGCTATCCTCAATATTAAGAGTAGCCTTTTTAATTTGATCAACGATTACATTGTACCCAATAGTAGGATATGTTTATTTATTTATTATTTTGTAGTGTCATTGTCCTAAGTGGGGGACTTTTTTTTTTTTTTAAAGTGACTTTGTGGTCCTTTATATAAGTTTTATATTTCACACTGTAAGTTGTGTGTGCTTATTTGTAAAATTGAGTTGTAAAAATGTGATTAATTTTATTGAAATTAATTATTGTTAATAGTTTTAATTTTTTTTGTGTTATTTTTTTTTATTGACACATTACTAGGATATCGGATCAAATTGTGGTTTTTATTTATATTAAAATTTTGAAAATTTAGAAGGTGTTATATTTAATGACCCGTAAAAATGAATGTATATTGAATGCGGTATATCTTTTAATTTAAAAAATATATATATTTACAACAAATTTTATCTTGAAAATGATTAAATTATATTATTTTTATAATATTATTTTTTTAGCTGAAAATAAATATGAAATAATGGAATTTTTTTACACATTGTATAAGGATATAGCTCACATCAAATTTTTTTTATACAACTTAATTTATGAAATTCTCTTTTTTTAACTCATAATTTCTTATTATTTTTCTCTCAAAGTTCCCTCAAAGTCAAACTAATTTTGTTTACTCCTACCGTCTAAAATTCTCAACTATATTTTTCACCCAATAAATCCAAACCGAAATCAATTCACTTGAACCACTTTTCCAAATACTTGCCAAATTATCATGCGTCGACTACTTGTCCAATTTTTCAAAATTTCCCATATTTATCAAACCCACAAGTTAAAAAAAAATAAAAAAATAAAGTGAGTTAAACATAAAATAAATTTTGAGAGAAACTTTTTTACTTTAAATGGAAAAATTATATATCGAGTCTTTT